TCCTACACAGGACGTCTCTCTGGATCAATGGCTCAAGAGTGAATGAATCTTTAAGAAACTCCAGACCTCTAGATCTGAAAAACTTACATCTCTTGGGTGCTAGGATTGGACAGAAGAGGTGGCAGAGCCTCTCTCTGGATTCACATAATTATTTAACAATTTTGTTTATATGTTCTTGCTAATAAATCTCTGCTTACTTCTGAGAGTCTATGGCAAGAACTGCTTCAGAAATGCTACAAGATTGGTGAATTTTAGAAACAAAATATGCAATCTTTAAAACTGGTATTGCATAACCAGTGTTTCTGGTCAAACCTTACATTTTTTTCTTCTTCAGATTATATTTACTCTCAACTTCTTCTGTGAAAGATACAACTAAAATTGTATCTTTCACATAAGATACAATTATTTAAGTGCAGCCAACTATTCATGCACTGTAGGAAGGTCTCCCTTGTCTCCTTTCACAGACTTCAGTGTGAATGCAAAGCTACTTTCAGCTCAGCTGGCAAGCTGAAAGTATAGCTGAAGTTTGTGGCACTGTGTGTAATAAGGGAATTTGCTTCTCCTGCCTGTTCTCCTCAGTTCTACTCTTACCAACTAACCTTCCTAATGTAATCTTGAAAGGAAAGGCTATGACTGTGGGGTCTTTTGTAGTGGTCATGATGGCTAAAGAGACACTGGGAGAGCTGGACCAAGCCTCCTCTTAGTGCATTAGTGCATTCAGACAGTTTCAGTCTGCTCCTGTGTGATACAAGGAACCCTGCCACATTCTTCTTCTGAAGGATGGAATTCCACATGCTGAGCATAGAAACCTGTGTAAAGGTGCAGGAAGGCACATGTGTGTAGAGTCAGATAATACTCTTAGACAGGTATGAACATATCCTTGACTGCAGGTTCTTCTAGCATTTGCAGAGCCACAGAAAGTCAAACTGTGATGCCAAGTCCCTAAAGCATGACAATCAGTGAGACTGGAATGGAAACTTAACTACAAAAGGCTGTACAATGTAAGTGATCAGAGATGCTGGATCCGATGACCCAGTGTCGTCCCTTCTAACCTGACCATTCAGCAATTCTGCGATTGTGTGACCTCAGTAGCAGCTGCATCAGGCAGGCCCTTGTCAGTGTTAGCTGTCTGTGAGGAAAAGTTGGACTTTAGGACGGGGTTAATTTTTGTCTCCCTGTCAACCTCTTTACATCAAGTACTCTGTGCCCTTGGTCTGAGGTGGACACTGGACAAACTGGTCTAAACTGCCTCCGTTATCATGGTAAGCTTCTGCACAAATAGGGCCAGCACAGAAAAAATCTCAGAGTCTAAGGAATTTCCTATGATTCTCTGAATCTTCAGAAAACCCTATGAAAATAATGAGAAAAAAAATTTCCACTTTTAAAATACAAAGGTAAATAATGTATATTTGCAATATTTCTCCTAAATCATTATGAAGATGCTAATGCAGAGGAAGAGGTGTGATGAGCCATATGAGCCATGCTGACAATATGATCACATGATATCTTTAAGCCCTCTTATAGTTGTTTGAAAAGTTGATACGCTTTTATGTCCCAAAGTGGTAGCTATGATGCTTCTGATGTTCTGCAGTGCAAAAATATATGGATTGTTTAGACAATCCTTTGGTGATGGTAGCAGAATGCAGTCTGTTAAATGGTGAGGCAACAGAGATCTCCACCTTTGCCAGTGGTAGAGGTATTTGAAATACTTTATTAGGAGTGAATTTTAGAGGCTATAGCTTCCTTTGTAGGTATTTATACAAGAAAATTAGCCTGCTCATCAGATATTTTGCTCAGCAATAGAACAGTGTTTGAAAGATCATCATAATAGTGGGTGGTCCTTTGTTATACATGTGAATGTTTTTCTCTCTTTTGGACTAAGGCTTATCACCTGCACAGTTTACTAGTAGAGTGGACCAATCCATTCAGTATGAATGTATAAGCAAATGGTTCACTGCAATAAAGGCTGCTTTTAAAAGCATTTTGAAATTATGTTCAGAAGAATGGTATAAGGAATGTTGAGCCTATGCCAGTGAGGAGATACATTGTGTTTTGTTCAGAAAATATATCCTTTGTGCATATATATTTTCTTAGCTGCCTGTGCCAAGCTGAACTCCGCAGACACTTGAATATTTCACACTCTGTGAATAAATGCTCAGCTAGTGTCAGAAAAGAGTGTGCCAGGATTATTTAATCATTAGACAGAGAGGAAAAAAAATCTCTGCCATGACCTACCGACCAGACATTTCTTGGCAACTGCTAATCAACCATGTTAGCCTTTTATTGTCTCTCCTGCCATTATCTTCCAGGAAAGGTCTGAGCAAAAGGTCAGAGTAACTTAATAGGTATTGGTTCATTTGTTATCTTTCATGCAGTATGCTGCAGCCAATAGTCTGCTCTCCATTGAAGGTGAAATACTTCACCTTAATTTGTCATGTTCCTTTACTGTAAAATTTGGCAACCAAATACAAAAGATAATACTTTCTGGTGGAAACATTTCTGAGAATAATTTTTAATGCTTTCTATGAGCATTAAGTTTTGAAATATCTGTATTTGGTAAATCACAAACTCCTTCCTTATTGTCAGTCTACAGAAAAAACACATTAGAAAAGTGGCCTGGATCTCAGCTCATATTACTAGCTCCTAAGACTGTCTCTGTTCAGGTAAGAACTGTATTCTATACTTACCTTTGAACAGGCAGTTGGATTTGCATTCCTTTCCTGAAAAAGCTTTTCCTGGGTGGCAGAACCCCAGAAAAAAAACATTAATTCCGAGAAGAAGATGAGGAAAAAAGGGGTAAATAATAGGAAAAATTCACCTTGCACCTGCCTTCTGTCACACAAATATATTGTGTAGACAGTGGTAACATGCATGGTAACAAGTGACTGCAACTGAAATTCTACATTTTTGAAAGGAATTTAATTTGAAAGACAGTGTTATCTTTGATAAGAAATTGTTCATTATTCCAATTTGTTCACCCATGCTGCTTTAACAAAACAATGCTGAACAGGAAAACCAGAAACCCGATTGCTTCTTTTCTGGGAATGGAAGTGTCTAGCCTAAAGCATGGGGGAATTTCTCTCCCTTTCTTTCTTGCTGTAATACTGGAAACACTTAAAATTTGTTCAAGCTTCTATGGGAAGCCAACACAGACTGCTCTATCTTCCTCTCCAGCATAGGACAGCAACTGGCAAATGAGTCCCACCACAGCTTTCACAGTTGCCATTAGGCAGCCCCCAGGACTCCTGGACCCTGGACATGCAGGGTTAATGCAAGAATTGAGAGAGATCCACCTCATCTCTCAAGTCCACCAGTAGCAGTTGTATCATGTAATCAGCCTCTTCTGAGGCATCTCAGTAGACAGCTAAAGGCATGGTTTCATACCCACTGAAAAGGGCTAATGTGGCAAAGGAGTTACAAATGTTTTACCTCACTAGGAGGTTGTGCCATTTGGTCTTCCCTCACTTCCACATGCTGTTCCCATTCCCAAGCAGTTTGTTGAACTAAAGATAATTAACCTCTGCCAGAATGGTTACTTCAGGCTTTCATTCTTGAAAACAAATCTCATTCTTGTTATTGCCAGAGCTGTAGGAATTGGATGTCCCTTATCTTCTGTGCAATCTGCACCAAAACCATTTTCTTTGTACCAAGTGGTAGTGGCATAAATTCTTCACTGAAGCTTTAATGTTTCTAGGAAATAACTTATGAAGCATTTGTCTATTGTATGAAGCTGCACAGACAGGTACAAAGTGGCATAAGTCAGGACAGAGATTTTGGGACTTGCAATAGGTTGAGTTTCAAACAGAGAAGCTCAGAGGCTCTGTAGAGCAGAGAGAGCAGCTCAGCCAGTGATCTTGTGGAGCAAATACCAGTCTGCTATACTGCATTAGAAATTCTGGACTTTTCAGTGAGGCTGGCTTGAACAGGACTGGTCAGGTGCAAAGACAGAACATGCCAGAATTGATTTTTCCTTTAAAAGTGCACGCATCTGTCATGTAATGTTTTTTGTATCTAGCCTCAGGGAGGAGGTTATCTGGAAGGTCCAAGCACATGAGCATTTTAGTCTTATGTTTTTCATCAAGAAGCTAGATGTTTACATGACTTGTTGAATTTGAGCTTTATACCCTGACATTCGTGTGAGGTGTTTAAAAATAAAACTTTTTTTTATTTGTGTGCAAAAGTTCCCTCTTCCCTGTGTTGCATCAGAGCAGCTGTTGCTGCTTTTTTCTTTCTGGGACTGTCTGTGACAGCCACCAGCCATCCTATTTACAGTCGTTAGTGCAAGGAAATTGGAAACTGCAGATACTGGAACATGATAATCTTCTTCATGTCAGGTTTGTCTTTTACTGTGACACAGCGAAATAAATGTTTGTACAGCTAATAAGACATTTATCTAGAGATAAGCAGAAGTGCTATGTTCTTGTTGATTGAGCTGCTGATGTAGAGCTAATTTTGGACCGGCTTACTAGAAATGGTGATACAGAAGTGTGACAAAAGGGGACAACCTCTCCCAGCCCACAGCCCCTCTATAATCAGAAGTGGAGAAGCCTCTAAAGCAATTGCAGCAAGATTTAGATAAGAACCCTGAAGCAAGCAAAGGCTGGCATCTTTGTTAGCTTCTAGGAAAGGACAGTCTTGTGCAATGTTTAGTTAAAGGTTTATACCACTCATAAAGGTTACTGACTGAACATCAGTCCAGTTAAATTTCCTCCAGTTCACTGATCAAAGTAAAACAATGCCTAAAAACTCAGGACTGTGCAGTCCTAATTTTATGAACATAACAGTACACAATTGCATTTTTGTCACTGAGGAGTATGAAGAATTAAATAAGACATAAATCTGTCTATGAAATGAACAGTTTTGAACAGTGCATGCTAAAGGTCTTTCTGTTCCACAGGAATTAATGTTTTGCTGTGCTTTTTAACTTGTTGAATTCACAAAACCTTACAAACTTACAATTTAGAAAATGTGTGAAGAATAAAGAGACAAAAGACCTCAACTGCTAAAGCTGCATTTTGAGTTTATTTTCTCAATCTTAAAAAGATTTTTTTATGGCACAAAGCATCAGAATCAGCACCTTTGCATTAACAAACTACAGAGAAGCCCTGTCAATTTGTTGCCCTAGTTCCAACTTTATATCATGCAGAAAACCTCCCTCTTTGTTCTTTTGTTCTATGAAAGGCTTAACACCACATTGCTGCAACAAAATCACGTTATGAGGGTTCCATTCACAGAATAAATGTACTGCACATTACATGCTAATTTAGTAATTTCATCATAAATGAAAACTACAATGCAAATGCATATATACATACACAGTGCAGCTTTTGTTCTGTGCCATCTTATCTTGATTTTTGTTATGCTCCAGATCACAACAGTACTGTTAGTGCAAATTAATGAGATTTAACTGTAAACTTTTCTTTTAACAACCACTTAGACAAATTTCAACTAATTTAGGCCACTGTAATTAATTAATTTTCAGCATCTGGTTTGGTGAATGATTTCTCAAGCTCCTCTTCAGCATTAGATTTCTTCTGGTTTGGGATAGCAGGTAGGACACAGCTTGGTTTTAGATGCTGTCCTGACAGACCAGGCAAGAGAGAATAGAGGATCTGACTCTGAGAATGTCCTGTTTTTAGAGATTTGGATATTGGAGCTGGTGGGAGAATAACTGCATCAGTCTGTAGGGACTTAAACTTCTTAGTATCCTGAGATGGTAGCTGAACTAGAGGAAATAGAAAAAAAGAGAAAGTGCACAGAAAGTGAAAAGCAAGGCATTTTTACAAATGATTTTGCAACTTCCTTTGAACTGTTGTCTCTTAATGTGTGTACTCAAGCCTGTACTTGAAAAATGTGATCAAAATATTAATAAAAAATGGTATTTTTGTATTCAGATGAATAAGCCTTGACAGGCTTATCTTCATCTGAAGGAAACTACTTCAGTGTTAAGTGATTTACTTTTGATTTACTGACCAGTAAGACTTGAAAAGGTCAAAGATTTACTTTTGATAAGCAGAGAACCCATTTGTCTTGAGAAGACTTGTTCTGTTTGAGAAATTTTTACAATATATTTTTTTTTATCAGAAATCACAGGCTGAGTGCAACAGAAATGTTCCATTAATATATTATTTCTAACAAAAATGTTCTATCGCTGAAGGTAAATGCTGATCAAAATCTAAGGAAGATGAAATGGAAGACTATGGGATGTTGTGTCTGGGTTTCTCTAGGCACAGTCAATCATAAAGTCAGGTCCACATATGCTCTGCTATTCACAGGCCACAAAAGTAGCCCACTACCCTGTATCAAACCAAGACACACCAAAACACCTGAAGGGCACACCTGTTATGTATCTCTGTTGTTGTAAGAAACTGTGGATTTAAATCATCCTTAATCTCTACCTCATACTCATCACTGAAACACTGTTTGTGCTTTAAAGCTAATATAGTTCTGTATTTTCTTTAAATTGAAATCCTTGGGCTCCTTCATTCAGACAACTCACTAATTTCCTGATTTTTTAAAAGGAGAATTGAAAACCATAATTGTAGACCTACTTTTCTGTGCTGTCAATTTCTTGTGAATTGCATTAGCTCCTTTTCATTTTATCTCTATTCTATTAACAAGCTCTTTGTATACAAACAATTTTGTTTCTTACAGTTTAAGCATATGAAGAGTTCTTTCTGGAGTTACATCATCTCTGTTGTGGCTACAGAAACTTCTTGCAATTTTTTACATTCATTTTTTCTTGGCTGTGTTCTCATTGCATTTGTAACTTCCTTCCATCTGCATATTTGTGTTGAATTATCTGAGAGGCTATTAACACTTTCCTCTGAAGTGTTCTAGCTGGAAATTTTGTGCTTAATTTAATTTGCCCCATTGAAAACAAATGTTACCTCTCTAATGTCTGCAGTGGGACCTCACTGCATAATTGTCTATCTATATCTATACCATCTATCTCTATCTCTATCTCTATCTCTATCTCTATCTCTATCTATATAATCTATATCTATAATCTATCTCTCTATTTTAACTATATACATGGTGCAAAAGAGGCTAAAGTTCTTGTCATATTCCCCTGTAGCATGAATGTTATATTAATTTAATAATTGATTATTTCTTTTTCAGGAGCAGTACTTTTCTAAAGCTTACCATGTATGGATTTAGGGCAAAGCAGGGTCCTTATAGAGAAGATTTAGAAACTTGGTAGATTAATTTCTTTTTAAGCTAATTTCAATTACTATTGAAGTTGTGATTACCTGAGCAGAAGTGTTTACTACAACTGCCCGTACACGGCCTCTGGCAGTGTACTGTAATTCATGGGTCATATTTAAGATTCATTCATTATTTAGAAATTCAGTAAAACACTTCTCCTTTCCATGAAAAACACCCAAACCATTAATACTTTGCTTTACCTGGTGCTGAATTTGTGTGAATCTGGGAGGGCTATATACAATAAATGAGCCCATTTGTTTTCTGGCACATGGAAGAATGCTTTGAGTTCACTGAAATTTTGGTGTGCATTCCATAAATGTTGAGAGGCTCACTTCTGTCCCTCTTTGGAACATATTCATATGTAAATATATTCAAAGTTCACATCTGTGTGAAAAATATCCATAAAGCTTTATGTACATCATTAAAAGCCTTAAATGATGGACTAAAGTAGGCCAAAACCACTGTAGCTTAATTTCACCCCCACAAGAGAGCAGCCATCACAAACTCATGCTCATTCAAAGAATCCAAACATCAGTGCTTTCCACATTGTCCCACATACTGTGCTCAGTTTATGGTCTCAGGACTGGTACATGGATGGCTCTGAAACAATGCATATAATGACTGGTATTGTTAGTACATGTATTAAAACACATAAGCCTGGACCCAGGGCTGGGATGTGTGGGAGGCAGAGCCCTTAAGGTCCCAGGAGCTACATACAGCAAAAGCACCATTAATGATTCATACACAGAGGGCAGAGTCAACTACCAAAGACCTGAACAGTAGACCTACTGGTTCAGGAAGCCTTTTCTACTCAATAGAGACTCTGGAGTGGCTGCTATTACAAACTACAGAGGCAAAAATAAGGCCGTTGCCCAAGAAGTATGGAGTCCAGCAGAAGAATGGGTCTTAGACATGAAGAAGTGAGAACAGCAGAGTTCTCCAGAAGTCCCATATTTGTTTGAAAAACTATTCTGGCATTTTGTGAGGAGTGTGTGACAGTGTGTTTTCCAGGGATTGTTGGAAGTGTTGCATGATGACATAGAATGCTTAGACAATGAAGCAGCAGCATGCAGAATAGGAGATGCAGTCTGTGCTGAGGCTACTTAAGAAGACATGTGAGGGATCTCTGGCCCTGGGAATATCTGAAGGGTGAGAATTTATTGTTTAAAATCACTTAAGTACTCTCACCAGGCAAATGCTTCATTCCTATTTTCCTCTTTCTAATGTGTATTTTAAAACATTTTTACTGAGAGATTTAATAATTTCTTCCTTCTCTTTTTCATTGCCCTTCCTTTTTTGGGGGAGATACTTCTTCTTTCTGTCAATCTCTGAGTAGTTTCAGTTCTCATTCTAGTTTTGCTTATTGTTCCAGCTTCTTGGTAATGTTTTGGTTTTTTTTTTCTTCCTTAGTGTATTTTTAACACACACCTTGTGTGTTAAAATATTAGAGAAAACACAAATATTTATACTCAATCTTTGTTGCTGGAGCACTTTGCCTGGATAAAGGCTATTTTCAAAAGGGTAATACTTTTAGGGCTGGATGGAGGATGAGTAAAATCTCAGACTGAGATGAGACTCTGAAACAGTTATTTAGAAAGCTTCAGGAGCAGATATGTAATTTCTGTTAACAAGAAATACAATCTATTTTGCAAATAATTTTGCTTTTCTCTTACTGGCTTGAACTAATGTTCAAGCAGTAATGGCACCTGGATAAATGTGCTGTGTTAGTTAATTAAACCATGATTCTTAATTGTGACAATTCTATGTTATTTGTTAAACTGTTTTTGGCATGAGACTAGAATTAAATTCTTGACCATTTGTATGAATTAATGTGAGAACAACAATTATTATGAAAGCATTTTTTAAAGATTTTGCTTACAACTATGATTTAACTAGAAGACACAGAGAACATGAGTAGAAAGCTTAAAAAATAGAATGCTTGGACCTAGTGTTTTAAAAGCAATTAAAAGCAATGAAATTATTTTCTTCCTTCTGAGCAGACAGAGAACACCACCTCAGTAATTCAAACACCTTTTCTTCTTCCTGTCTCATGTAGAAAACAGCAGCAGTACAGGATTCTGTATATCGCTATCCAATCTGATTGTCCCTCGAAGGCTGCCTCTGCCTTAGTAATACTGTCATCACTGCAGAATTGCTTCTGACATTCAGCTTAAAAGCAGCAGGGAATCTTAAATTTAGGTCTGAATGCTTTTGGACCTGGCTGATCTGCAGGATGACGGTCAGTAAACTGTAAATCCTCATCCAATATACAGTGGAGATTTGTGCTTTGTGGAGCACAAAAATGTGGACACTGCTGGGAGTAGGGCTGATGTCTGTGTATGAAGAAAACTCCAGTTGCTGGCTTGATCCAGCCTGGAACAATCACGGTCTTGACACTCTGCTGGGACTCTGGGAGTGGGGTGAAGCTCTCTGGCTCTTTGGGACCACTGCTTCCCAAGCTGAACACGAGCCAGCATGTGCCCATGCAGAAATACACCAACAGTGTCTGGTGCTGCACCAGGAAGAGCACCGCCAGCAGATTGTGACAGGTGATTCTTCCTCTTTACTCAGCTTGGGTGAGACACATCTGGAGATCTGAGTCCAGTTGTGAGGTTTCTGGTACAACAGGGAGGGGGACATACTGAAACAAATCCAATGGAGGGCAATGGAGATAGCTAAAGGAGTGTCAGCCTTAAAGGGGAGACTGACAGTGCTGGGACTGTTCAGCCTCAAGAAGAGAAGGCAGCTCAAAGGATCTTGTCAATTTATCTAAATGTCTGGGGAGTAATGGAGAAGGAGACAGACTTTTCACAGTGGAGTCCTATGGAGGGAAAAGAATCAATGGCCACAAGTAAGTACTAAGAAGCTTTTTCCTCTGAGGATAGTCAAACACTGGACGAGATGGCCCAGAGAAAGTGTTTTCTTTCCATTTCTCCATTCACAGAAATATTTAAAACAAAACTGGGTGATCCTAGGCAACATGCTGCAGGTGACTTCTCTGTGGATATGAGGTGGACAGACAGTCTCCAAAGGTGTCTTCCTACCTCAGCCATTCTGTGATGCTGTGGAAAACAAACATGAAACCTCTCTCAAGCCCTCAGATGCTGGTGATGGAGGCACGCAATGTGATACAGTAACTGACCCTTGTCTGTACTTACTTTTGTGAGCACTGTGGTTGGGTATTGGAGCTAGGTTTTTCTGTACAGGAATAACATTTTTCATTTTGTGTTGGTCTATGGACATTTGTCGAAAACTTCTACCTGTGAAGGAAAAAGAAAATCATTACGGAAATAATTGTAACTAGTGTGGTGCACTGTACATTTCTGGCTTCCAGAAAAGAAAAGAAAATGTATTTATTATTTTTCAGAAATAAAAAATTTATAATAATAACTTATTATTTCTTGTAATAACAAGAAACCACTGACTGAAAAAAAAGAAGGTGTTGCTTGGTTCACTTTACACTCAAAAAAAGGACTGATTGCTTTAGGACAACCTTCACATTATTGCTTTCTATTGTATAATATAGCTTTAGGTCTTAAAATGGGCACAGTTTATTAGCTAGGTCTCTGTAGTGATCTTTGGGCTCTAAATCTGTAAAATTAATCAAATAGATGATTTGATTTCAAAATTGAAGGTTTAGTTTGCAAAATATCCTAGTAGAATCTTAGCCTTTGTAAGTGTTAAAAAAAAAAAACAGAGTTCAACTGCTTGTTGGAAAAGCACATTGAAAGCTATTAGCAGTAAAGATGAGCTTTGAGAGAGTTTTGTGGCAGATGAAAGCATATCACTGATAAAGGCTATACTGATCCTTATTAAACTATGTTTATAGCAGTATCATTTTAACCAAGAATAGTATACACTGGAAAAGGAAAGGTTAATTGGTTAATTCTGGCATGTCACTGGTTAAGATTAAAGTTAACTAGGTCTAATACTATTTAAAAAGACAGTATGTTAGATTATGTAATGCATTTCATCACATAAAGGACATGTCTAATACTGAAAAAAGTAGAAACTCAAGCACCAAGTCAACATTTTCGCCAGATCTTTTTCCTGAGCTGATCTTATTCTGTGATGCTTGAGTCCCTCAAATTATTTTTCTTGTTATCACCAAATCTGTGATGAGACATGTAATGAGATGTCTTGGCAAGCAGCTGCTCATCCAGCATGGCTTTACAACATAGCTCATTGAAGAGCAGGCATATGCTCTGTCAGCACACAGAGACGTGGGGAGACACGGGGTGGATGTAGCAGGACATCCTAAGCAGGTGGAAGAAATGGAATGATATTATTTGCCTTTGTGGCTTTGCAGCTGGTATTTAAAAATATCTATGTGTTGTTGGGCTGTGCAAGATAAAGCTGTAGAACAATACTTTTCTAAAAGTTTTCTAAAGATGCACAGAAGTAGCTGTCACAGCTGCTGTTGCTGACTAAACAGATTCTGTGTGAAAGGAGTTACTGTGGTGTTGGTCAGGCAAACCAACATGTTACAGTGCAGCCTTCAGCTCAGCATGGAGCAAGGTTTTGGTCTAAAAGCCACAACAGTAGATAGACATTGGGTCAGTCTGCTGGATCCGGTGGTTAAGCTGATGTGTTTGAGCTAAAGCATGACGAATTTTGTATGGGTGAACTCTGCTTAACAGAAACAGACTTCAGTTCGGTTTTCCTGTTTTTTACTCTTTAATATCTCTAGTGTCTAGTTGGTAAATTTCTTCCATAGACCTCACATCCACTCTGCACAAAGGACTAAATATATCAATTCCAATATAGCAGAGAATTGTTTGTTGCTCTCATTAGAGCAATTCAAGTTATATTGGTTTCTGTGATGCTATGCTGAGAACTAATGACTTATTGTGTATGTATCATTTATGGCTTTGATGATGGGAGGCTGTTGTTGCTATAAAGAGATATGTTCATTTCATAAATGGTACAAAACATAATCATATTTGAAAAGATGATATGAATGCTTGGAAAACAATCCTTGTTAAATTTTGGCATCAAGTGGAAGTTTTCTTCTACTTTTCCTTTCTATCTGTTTCACATAACATCTGGAAAAATAGCTTTTCTCTCTTTGAGACATCATCTTTGCTGTCCCCAAAAGCACATTTATGATTGCAGTTATTTTTGAATAAATGGAAAGAAAGCTATTTCATTCTTATAAAATGCAGGACTGCATTTGTTCTGTTTAGTGGTTGTATTTTTTTTTTAATTTCCCTTATATTTAGGAAGGTGAACCACATAGTAGTGCATTTTGTGTAAAAGTTGTTAATGTTATGATGACTGCCTCAAAGTAAATTGGTTCTTAAATTTGAGAAAGCGACAGCCACACTGATCAGCTTTGCTCTACTTTCCTAGCCAAAAAAATGCTTCCTGTTGAAGGTATACCATTCATTGATGGTATACCATTCTGCTTATACCATCATAAACTTAATAATAGCCTGTTTTTCACCTATTCAAGCAAACAGAAGGTACTGTAATAAAACCTGTAATAAAGTATCATCTTACATCTGGAAATCTAGTAACCCAAAAGACGAGTGGTTAATAGGCATCTCAGAGCTGTCTTATACTTGAGATAGACTTCCGTTACGCATATTACTTCGAATTTCTCTACTTACAATATTTTTCCCTTTAGAATGCAGATAGCAGTACATTTTGCAAAAAGAGATGACTGCAAAGCTCATAAGTAAATGCTTAAAATTTTTGATGCTAGCTCAGTACTGTGGCTGGAAAACTCTCATGAAATGCTGACAGTTTAGTATAGACTGTCTTTGCTCTTCTCAGTGGAGGACAGTAATTCTGAGAGAAACCAATGGCATAGTAGTAAGGTAATTCTCATTGCTACACACAGCAACCTCTCCCCTTTGTGTGAGTGTTAATGCTCAGGTGGTAAATTGACTCATCTTTCATTCCTGGGAGCACAGATAATAGAACAAAAATCTCCAAATGCTTTGACATATATATGTGCCAGCTGCCTTTGTAGCAAGTGAGCACAAAATTTAGCTTTGACTTTGACAATAGACATGGTCATGCAAGACAATCAACACTGTCAACAGAGAAAATAATTTTAAAATTGAGTTTTCTTTGATTATTGATACCCATAATCCTGGCCTAGATATTAAGTGATTAGGAAATTACATATAGTCCCCCAGTCATAAATTGAGAAAGGAACTATTAACACTTCAGTGTCTTCAAAAACCAGCTAAGTCTCCTGCAGAAAGAAAAGTAAAATAAATTAAAAAACCCCAACCAAATAAACAACAAAAAAACCCACAAAAAACAAAGAACAACAAAAAATCAACCAAAACACTCCCCCCAAACCCCCCAAAGCAACAAAAAAAACCCCAAAAAAAAAACCCCAAAAAAAACCAACCAAACAAACAAACCAAACCAAAAACCCCGCCCAAAAAACCAAAACCAAAAAAGAAACCACCAACCCCAACAAAAGATATTTTTCCTCAGGGAGATGGCTGCCTGTACAGCCTTGCTGGCTGGGCTGGAGCCAGACTTTGCTTCTCATCCCTCTAAGTCCTGCAGGCACAGTACATTGGAGACCTGGAAGTCCTGGAGCTCATACAGTAAATGCAGTTCTAACCCACAGAAAGTCAGGTGGCTTTAATTACAGGGGCAGACAGATTTAAACCATACACAGGCATGAAGAGGGATAAGCAGATCTTTCTATCATGAGAAATGTGAGACAATATCTGTGTTGTGCAATGCATTCCTGTCAGACACTCTCTTCCTCCTCAGAGGATTTTAATTCATACGTTTCAGAGGAAGGTTCTTTTTGCCAGATACAAGAATAATTTTATTGTTAGAAAATGATGCTAAATGGAGTTGATACAAAGAAAACTGGACTTGAAGAACACTCGGGCTTTTTATTTTCTGAGAGAAATTACAACCTGTCAGAAATAAGCTTACTTACCTTTCCTTTGGGCATGCAAAGATGGCTCCTATTATAACAATTAGATTTTTGTCATAGGATGTTCACAGAAACATTTTTTCTAGGAAAACCACCTATCCTTCTGTCCAGAGCAGACAAGGATTTAATAATTTTCTACAGTACTAAGAAAAATCTGTAATCACATTTTGAATAACATGATAATTACTTCCCTATCAAATATTAATAGTCTAGGAAATTCAAACAGGAAATTTTCCCAGAAATTCCTCCAGTTTGGTTTATCCAGCTTGAACTCATTCCTACTACTGCTGTCAAGTTCAATGATCTCAAATATGTTAGCCTCACTGTACCCTATTATAGTGAGGTTGTAAAGTAGCCCTGCAGGTATTCTTGTGTTCCACATGTGAGCTGAACCTTGCAGAATTTAGTGTAGAAAGAGTCGTGCAGAAGCAATCATTGCTGGGCATGTGGAGTCTGGGGCTTGTATGGTTGAGTGAGTAGCTGAAGAGTGCATAAAAAAAACGTAGTGACACCTATGGAGCAGTTCTATTAAGCTTTCAGGAATGTGGCCTGACATTCAGGAAGTGGCACTTCTAAAATAGTCCATTTTTACACAAAAAAGATATTTCTAGCCTTTAATTTGCACAATGTATGTATAATGGCCTGTCATTCTAAAATTACTGTCTCTGCTCTAGTTGTCAGACATGTGTGCAAAGATTTGCTTTTTTGTAGTTCACTTCACTTAGATTTCAGAACAATTTGCACTATAATGCAGCTAACTGAGGGCTCTTCTTAGGATTTCTGTTCACTCCTCTTTCCACTGAAGGGTAATGGCTCATGTCTCTTGGGGTAAGTGTAGATTAACTTATTGAAATTTGCACTCCTTTTAATGGTATACTGGAAACTTTGGGGTTTGCTTCTGCTTGCTTAATTTGCAGTTAGATATTGCAGTGGTTGGAAGGCATGCTAGATGTGTTTAATTTTGGCAGGAGACTAACCCCAAAGGAGATGAATTTGGAGACACTGATATATTAAAGTCAACTCCAGAATGCAGGCCAGCCAGGCAGATTCATTTGAACATGGATGTGAGTCAAACAAAATACTAGATCCCCAAATCCAGCCAAACTCTGGTATCAAGTTCACCTTAGAATTCTAATGCTCTGCTTCATTACTGTTGCATTACAATTTCCAGACCACAGTATAAAAGCATTTTCTCCATCTCTGTAAATTTAGCAACCTGAATTCAGGTTTTGGAGAAACCATAAGAACACCATATCAGACCAAAGAGCTGGCACTCAGGGTGGGAAGGGGTGCCACTGCAGCCTGGAGTCAGAATATAACTATATGAGTAAGGTGGCATGGCATAAAGCTGTCCAGCATGGCACTGGACCTGGCTGGAGCCAGGAGCAGCTCTCACCAAGGTTACAGATTTGAGGGCAAGACTGTTCCCTTGCACATGTACATCTAGGACTAAATGTGGACATCAAATGCAGCAGGTGTGGTAGTGGATGTAAATGTGCAATTCACAAAGCACATACATATTACCTGGAGGCACTTAATTGCTCAGGTGCCTTATATACCTCCTAGATACCTGCATTTTTGCTAGCTCATCAGACCTACTTAAATCTCCTATTTCTGCTATTTCTCTTCAGCTTTCAACTGATGTCCCAACCAAATGCTACCTGTGATGGCCACATAAAGGAGAAACGGAAAAAAAATAGAAATGTAATTGGTCTCTACCTTTTTCTGACTCACCCTGTCACATCAGTAGATATAATAGGATTTAGGATATGGAAAAGGAAAAAATTACCTGATGGAGAACTGGGAAGTGAGGGAAGGCAGGGAGGGCACAAAAGCACATGGTGAGATCTATCAGAGCTTAAGCCATTCATCAATTTGTCTGAAGAAGTCCTAGTACAGATTTTGTAAGAGAGCCTTTGGTTAGAGTCTGTGTTCCAGGGATCCTCCAGCAAAGCCTGGCAGCTGTCTGTGCTGTCCAGCAAGTTGTGCTCACTCCTGCTCTTTCGAGATTTGGGTGGCACATGGTGGGTACTGGAGCTGGAGTAGAAGCATGACATTTTGCTCTGGGAAGTAGTTAGGAAGGAATTGCCTGCAGTGACTGGGGGGAAGCTCTGGTTGGTGATGGGTGGGAGTCCCTGACATACTGATTGCTTCTTTTCTGCTATGAGGTACTTAGAGTCTGTGCTCTTTCTTTTAAAGTCAGGTGTGGTCTTACACTCATCTGGAATGTCTTTACAATTTTTATTCATAATGCAATCAAAACGGGTGACAATATCATCTACTTCTGAGGTCTCTTCTCCAGGATCTTGATCTCTGCTTCTCTCCTTCTGATTGGTTTTCTGGTCATCTTTCTTCTTTTTGCAAGAGAAGATCTGGTTCAGCATACTGAATCGTCCTTCTTTCTTTGTAAGTCTGTTGTTCTGGAAGTGAAACTGCTGAACTGACTCAGATCTACTGGAAATACAAAATAAAATGTGATGTCAATATTACCAAACAATGAGAAAATACCAACTGTGTTACTCCATTAAAGAAGCAATATTCTGTCCAGATACCTCTGCATGGGTGGTTCAAGAAAATTAGGATCCCAAATTTGTAATTAACAGACTGAAAATGATACTATGTTAATTCACTCTTTCTGACAGGTGAATTGCCTTACAAGCATCTTAATGTAACTTAGCATAGCCATCTGGGAAAGAAACCCCTCCATTTTTCTGCCTTCAGCATCTTTTTAATCAGGTTGTCTTTGTATTATATCATATTTGGAAAAAGGTATTTCTGGTCATTGCAAGCACTGTAAAAGAAGCCTCTAGTTCACCATTCCTACTGTCCCTTTCCCTTTTCCTTTTTCCTCTTTCCCGTTTGCCCTTTCGCTTGCCTTGCTTGTGCTAAAGAGGTCCAGCACAGTTTCAGATCGATCAAGATAATTACCTATACTGGTGTTGCCTTTTCCAAACTAGAAATGAAACTCAAGATAATTTTAGTATGGGAGTTAATATAAAAGTGGATCTTTATTGAAGACATTCAGGGCGGTTATGGAAAGATGTCCACAAAAGCCTACCTCCACAAGGGTGAGTACATTTTTATAGGTTTTAGGAAATTAGCATAATTGATCAAAAGCACAAGTTAGGAGGACAAATGGTGATGCAATTCCCGTCCAGGTCAAGCACCTTCTCTGGATCCCCTCCCTTGGTACTAGTTGTCCTTTGTCCATGAGAATGTATCTTGCAGAGTTGTTCTCAGTCTTGGTTCTCAGGAAGAACCCAGACAGCATGGTGCTTTGTCTCCCTTGGGACTTGGAGCTCTGGAATTTGTTTTATCTTTTTGCCTAGGGAAAGGCTTTGGAAAATTACTGGGACAATAGACTACAGAAGTACAAATATATGTGCAAAGAACAAAGAGAACATATAAAAGAGAAAAAGGCAAAACTGAAAACGGTATCAGTATTGATGTAGTGGTTTTGAGATGTAATTTTGTTTATTCTCTGATCTTCTCTAATAGACAGAGTGTGGGAGAAAGGGGAGAGGTAATATTACCTGTGTCTCATATAATACTAACTTCTGACTGGAAAGGAGGAGAAAGCACAAAGAAATGGGGAGATAAATGTAAGCGCATACTTGAAGTAGAAGAATGGAAACTAATTAGATAACAGCTGCTGAAAAAGGAAAAATAAAAAGAAAGGAAGATTGTAACCAATAAGTCTTTTGTTCTACTTTTTAACAGACAAGAACTCAGAATTAAAAAAACATATCAAGGCAGAGAAGAACACTAGGATAATACTACGAAACTCTTACTCTGAGGATGAAAACTTGATATTTATTTTATTTTCTGTCAAAGCTGCTTTTGTGTTCAGTGTATCTGTCTGTCTGATTACATGTGCACACAGTGCACAGAGATTTCTAAGAAGTGGAAGTTACATGTATCTGATGGCTGAAATTATTCTATTATACAAATTTTATATATGAAGGTGACTGAGCACGAATTATACACACATCTTCTTCACAGCTCTCTGCTGCTTGGTAGAGTAGTATTCAACCTCAGTGAAGAGTCTCTGTAAAAAGAACTGATTGTAGAGTTTCAACATTGATGGAAAATGATACAATATTGCCTATGAATCAAGGAAACACACTGAGGGCTCAAAACTTTCAGTAGCATTCAAAAAGCAATAAATTTGTTTTGTAGTCTGCGGCAACACATTAGGAAGATGTGAACTTTACTTTTACCTGCTCTCCTGAGTCAGCAGCTTGATGCATGCCGTGTGCCCACAGTAAATTGCGTATGCCAGAGGAGTGTTTTCATTGATGTCTCGAGGGCTGCTGTCTATCCCCAGTTCTAGCAGTGTCTGCACACAGTCAGCTTGCCCTGCTGCTGCAGCCCAGTGCAGTGGAGTCCTACAGGAAAGGCGGAGTATCATTGAAATAGATGAACAGATTTACAATCAAAGCTATTAATGACACAGTGAGGTGTGCATAAGATATACTACTTGCCCAGATTCCTAATATACATTTTAAGAAATTCTCCAGCCAACTTATTCCACACTGTTGTAGCTGCATTTATTTAGCTGCAGATAAAGTAGAATATGGGTTGCAGAATGCCTATAACTTATATAGCAGCACCTCTTCCACAGATGGAATTGTAGAGTAGGAGAAGTGCCTGAAGTATTCAGAGCAGAATTTAAAAAAAAACCTTCACAGTATTCACTGCATAGGGACAAACTCTTCTCATCTTTACACCAACCATAATTAGCCATGATTGGCAGAGGACTTTCCGTGAGGTAGTAAGAGAAGCCTCTCCCAGATGAATGACAAGGACTGAACACATCTACCAGACTGCCACTTTGCAGTTTCTGAGTTCTATGATAGGCACAGACCAGAGCACATATAATTGTTTTGAATCTCTGCAGGAGAATCAAACTGATACTGTTCTTGGCATAAAGTTTGCATCTTGTATTTGGAAACGTTTGTCCAGTTTCCAAATTGCTCTTGGGAAAAATCTAAAAGCACAGACAACACCACAAAAGGGTTTAAGAATAGAAAAATAAAATTGACATTTTTTTTCTATTAGTTTTCAGTCTCAGTGATTTCAGAGTGGGTGCAATCAGAAACACAACAGAATAAAAATCTTATAGATGTGCTTGTAGCAAAAAGTTTACCTTTTCCCTCTCCAAGTATAATATATTCTGAGCACGTGGAAATATCTGAGCACGTGGAATAGGTGACCATGTCTTAATGAACTTTGAAATCTTGGCAATCTCTTCTCTTTGCTCTTCTTTCCATAGAAACACAACCTGGTCAACTACATTTTAATGATGTTTAGAAACTGCTCCAGAACCCTGTTCATTTTATTTCTGTTCCATTTTATTGCACTTTTCCATGAAGAATGGTATTATTTTAAGTACCGAAAGGCCTGAGCCAAGAAAATGTTGGCTTTTGCTTCACTGAGCAGAATAATCAATACGAACAGTCAGCTGGTTCTCTTTGCATTAAATAAATTTATGAGCAAAGTTCCAAGGAAGGTACTTGTGGGGTGAAAAAGAGGAAAGATGAATCTTCTGTACTTATGAAATAGAGATTTAATCACAGAAGAAATCACAGGTGTTTTCAGAATGGAAGGTGAGAGTCCTCTGGTCCTATATGAGTATGGTATTTTCATCTTAAATACAACAAGAGAACACTGCCATTTATTAAATACAAATAACAGCAGGATCCTGGCTTCAAGTTGTAGGATCCTGTTGTATTGTTTTAAAAGAATGTTCACTTTTGATTGAAAGAGACTTAGGTGAGTCATGGCATAAGTTCTTACACAAATAATCTTCTCCTTTTCTAGCACAAACAGAAAGCTACATTTCATTCTTTCTAGTCAGTTATCATACTAAGTACAATACATGTGAGCTGAATGGGTTTGCAGTGTTACTGAGCAAGCACAGCTCTCTGTGGACTGCAGGGCATTACTCAGCCATGGCCTGTGAAACAGGAAACATGATTACATAATAAACAGAGCTGGTCTCAGGTTATTAGAAAGGAAGCAGCAATTTCAGAGTTTCCATGGTTACCTGTCATCCACATCAAGAGCCTGCAGGTTGCACTTTGGGACTTTAGCCAGCTCACTGATGATATCACTGTAGCCTGCAGCAGCAGCAATATGCATGCATGTTTTGCCATTCTCATCATCATAATTTATTATTGATGGTCCCTGCCAGTGGTCCAGAATTATGGAACACAGAATCCTGTTGCCACTCTGCAAGGAAGTTAAGAAAAGGAAAGTTTTACAATGGAGCTCACACCAGACTGCATCTTCTCTGCTAGAGAATGTTAAATACAGTAATTCTTCAGGTATTCTACAGGTATTCAGTAATTCTACAGGTATTCTTCTGTGTGCATACCAGAATCTCCATATATGAAAGCCAAATCTTCCAATCTCCAGCTGAGGACTGTGCTTACTTTATGAATTTTCTAAAACACTCTGAACACTGGAAAAATAAATAATGAACTATTGCAAATATCTCCAAGTTGTAGAGTGTAAATTGCTTAATGCAAAATTACTTGTGGTTTTTTGCTGCTTTGCTAAGCCAGAGTCCAGAAACAAAAGCATATATTTTCCAATAGAAATTTAGATCTAAAAAGAACCTCATAAAATCAACCCATATCTATAAGTCTGTCTCAGTACACTTAAAAAAGTAATGTCAAATATTTGTTCAAGTGCTTGAAAACTTTCTTAGCTAGTTTCCTCCAGTATCTGGTGTCTTAATAGAAAGCTGACATTGTCCTCTAACCTGCAAATGAAATGGAACATTTTATATCCTACCTTAGTGGAAACAGAGCAAAAGAATGAATTACTTTTTTATAACAACAGAAACACAAGGTAGCAAAGGTCCTTCTATATCATCAAATTCAATTCCTGCAATCACTTGAAGCTATGTTACATCATCACTGTCATAAACTTTGTCCACTAAAGGCAATTAGGTCCTTTTTGTTCCATTATTCTCAAAGGAAGACAGTTCAATAACTTAGTTTTTATGATTTGTATCTCTAAATGCTATTCATACTCAGGGCCGATTATATTCTTTTGTTTCTGTTCCAGCATTATTATTTAAATTAAATACTCCTTTCCTCTTACTGGTACTTGTTCTTCATATGTATTTATAGTCAATCATCACGTCTCTTTTGAATTGTTCTCTTGCTGCTCTAACCAATCATGGTCTTTTAAGGGTTTTTTTGAAAAAAATATGCTTTCTGTTTCTCTCATTAACCTAGTAACCCATTTCCTCTTGTGTTTTAGTTGTGTTTCTTTGAAGAGGGATGATTAAAATTGTACTAGTCATACAAAGATGTTTTTGCCAGATGTTATGCAGTGACACTGCTCTTCCTTATTTGTGTTAGAAATACTTCTTTTGGTATGTCACAGAACAGCATTTGCCTCATTCACAGCTGTGTCCCATTTGAGGCTCCTAGTCATTTTGGAATGACCCTTTACACCTCAGTACTTCCTCAGTTTTTTTCCAAGCATAGAGTTTTTAGTTTTGGGGAGAACCTTCTGTTACTAGCACCAAAGTGCCTGACTTATACATTTTATCCTATTGAATTTTGTCCCATTTGCACTGCTCAAGATTTAAAGGTGATCTATATTCCTGTATATCCCCATTCCTTCCTGTTATTGTCTTTCACTTTTTTATTATTGGTAGATTTTATCAGAAAGCTCCAGTATTATGTGTTAGGTTATGATGAAAATATTAAACAAGAGTAATATCAAGTCTTATCGCTGAAAATAATTTCGTTCCAGCCTCTATTCAACATTTAATCATACTCTTGTTTTCTGGATTTTAAGGCAAAATTTCTTTTGCTTCTCTGTACTTTTGTATCTTATTTTGTAAGATAGCTACTTATTCTAAATATATCTTTTAAAGATGGGTAGACATCCGTTATCTCATGCCTCTACTATACACTTTTCGTCTCTGCTCTTGAGATTCAGCTTCCTGCCATATTTTGCACCATTGAGAGAATACATTCCATGTCCCTGGAATATTCTGATCTCACAGCTACTCAGTCCAGCTGAGAATTCCCTTAGTTTACCAAAACATATCCCTCTGAAATCAGGAATTTTGTTTTACATGTACTTTGCTTACTTTAGAGTCTAATCTTGATCATGTAATTCAAGCTTATTTTCTGTGACTAGCATTTTGTAACATCCTAATGAACCATGTTCAAATTGTTACTAAGTTATAGTTGTCTGAATATCTAATGAAAAGAGGAGTGTTGATCCTCGTGTTCATAAATACTGAGGTCCTATGAATAACTGTTGTTTTTATTGTCCAGTCCTTATGCCAGATACCAATATCCTCTATACTAGTATAATTCCCAGTTACATATTTTCATCATTAGCATCAGGGAAACCCCTAATCACATTCAGGGCTAACTAAATCTAGAAGTCTATTACATACTTCTAGTACTTCCACAATAAATATCTATCTGTTATCATCCTTCTCTAAGTCAGTTTTGATACAAAAAATGATTTACATTCGTACCTTACTACTTTTGTACTCATGTTCTAGTGACTCTACTATTCCTCTAGTTTTACACTATCTTGCTAAGTCCAAATTTCACACCCTGAAGCTGCAGTTTCAGTTCTTGCACAATTCCCAGCATTCACAGAAGAAATTTTCCACTATTCTTACTGGCCTTTTTTACTTTTACAGACTGTTCTGTCTCCCACCAATCTTCTGCTTTCTAGACTAAACAAATAATTTCAACCTCCCTGTGCAGGTCACTTTTCCAACCCACTTATCATATTTGGTGCTTTTGGCCTGTTTCCAGTTTGTCTGCAGTTTTTTTTAACCATGGCATTCCAAACAACACAATTATGCAGCAGTGACTTCTCTCCTGACTTTGAAAATTACTTCCTGTAGCCCACATTTACCATTCTTCTTGTTAATATGTCCCAGAATGATGATTGTTTGATTTATATCAACACCATAACTTAAACTGCTTCTCACTTTTGTAATCTGCTAGTCTATTACTCTTAATTTTGCACAAAAATCTTTAATTTTTTCACAGTTCAGTATACAGTGTTATTTTATTAACTTCAGTTAACTCTACAATTTCTCAAAATACTTCTGAATTTCATCCTCACCCATGAAGTACCTGATGTTCCTGTAATTTGATTTTCACTGTAGGTTAGATGTGTGTTCTGTATTTCAATACCTCATTATGGAACAAATGAAAACATTCTTATGATACATTCCTGGTTAGACAGACTATGACATATCCATCTCCAAAGATTATTTGAACTGTCTTGAATGTGGCTGATAGAGAACATGTGATGTGTGATACAAGTCTCGTTGATTTTGATGGCATCACTCCTTCTTCTTCCCCTGTGGGACATCTTGGAAATAATTCTGTGTCTATTATAGCAGGTTGTGCTTATAAAGATTGTGCTATTGATGTTATTCAATGTGATTAAACTTGCATGTACTGCTCAAATGAAAAAGGAACAAAGAATTAGACTTTTAATGACCACTGTATTTGCCACATGCTTAGCAAGGCTTCTATGCCATGTAATGAACTTTATCTTGCAACTTTTCCATAATTTTTGTGTTTTATTAAATGGGATTAACTGATTAATTGACACTCAAACATACCTCACAGCTTCTTATCTGAGGAAGCAGTAATTGCTTTGAAGATGGCTATGAAAACTGTCTTATTTCAGCCATTAAAAGAAATTGTTACTTCCATTTTCTAAGTAATCAAAGAGTATTTCCTAATATTTTAACCTTCTGCTGTACGAGATTTCTTCTTTCTTTGTGACTGCTCAGTGAGTTTATGTGGAAGAAAAGTAAACAGTGGTTACAGTTCTCTCTTCTTAGGAATGCCTTCTTATCTTTAAATTCCTCTTGGCACTTCTAAACTTCACTCAAAATTCTCCTAAAATGCTTACAATGCCCTTATTCTTAGATTGATAGCTTTGAGCTGTGGTCACCAAAAATGCAGTGCTCCTGTAGTAAATTTACCACACTACTTTTGTTAGACCAGGATGTTCTCTGGTAAATTTACCACAGGAAAACTATGTGTTTTTGTAACCTTACTGTATGCATCACTAATTTTCATCTTCCCTTTTTGTATTCAAATTCTTTACAGCAGAAATTCAAATGTTCTCAGAGATTATCAGTCATTTTTGCTATGTGTTTCTAAATAGTTTTGCAGGACTTCTCCCCACCCCTCCCCTGCCCCTTCCCCAGGTTTTGTTATGCTTTTGTCCCATCTCACACTTTTATCTGCTTCCACCCATTATTGGTTTTCCTCACTGAAATTTTCTTCCTTAGATGCCTTATCTCAATTAAACATACTTGTTCTAGGATGACTTTATTTGTCCCATACCAGGATATTTATGAAGAAGAAATGTCCTAAAGCCTAGATCCATGAGCCCCCTGTATGAAAAACTGTTCTTTATGCAAATTTTTGTCTGAGATTTCCATAATCTCTAGACAGTGGCAGACAGCCAAATCATTAACAGATATCTTGCTCTGACACTTGATTACACCTCTGGTTTCTATAAACTGGTTAATGAAAGTCAGACTTCTGAGAGTTGGGTCTCTCAGTGCTTTCCAAATAAGAAAATAATTATGCAAAAAGTATCTATCTAAATCAAGTACCATTGATTAGAGAATCCTGAACCTCTGGGACACTTTTCTAGTTTTGGCACTTCTTTCAGCTATGTCTACTCAATTTATCCTCATTGTTACTGCAGCCATGTTTCTTATACTTCAGCTCTTTCTATGTCCAACTCATAAGCATAACAATAATTTTACTTAGAAAATTTCTTGTCACTTACATAATATTTTACCATAATATTGCATTTTATTCTGCCAGGTCCTCAGTCATAAACATTGAGATGTTTGTTTTTTGTTCATACTGCACTGTATAGACAGCTGTTTTTTCCCCCTCTTCAGAATATTCTAGTAAACTAGATAATGGGGTGTCATATGAAGGAGTCAAATGAAAGAAGTCTGCTAAGCCTTCTATCAGTAATGGTGGGACAGGTAGAGGAACAAGCTATAGATTACTTAACTGGTCTCATGAAACCCAGATAAAATACTTTAAAAATATTTTTCTTCCAAGTAAATGCCTCTGGAGATTGTATGGTTAGGTTATATTAGTTTTTCTGTATTTCCTGTCTGCTTGTATTAGCATGCAGTTTAAAGCTTTCCTATATCTATTGCCATCTTTGCCAGGTGGAAAATCATC